ACTACCGTGCACAAAAGAAAGATGAAAAGGGAGACATCCTTGCTCAAACCACGACATTCGTTGCAAACGGAAGGACTAGTTCAAAGCAGGAAAATAAGGGAGTCCAAAGATATGGAGGATCGGGTCGAGAAATATGGTTGTCATGGTGGAAGTTGTCCGTTGGAGATATGTTTGGTTGGAAGAGGTTGGCAGATGTTGATCCAGTTGGTGGACAGTTGGTGGACAGTTGGTGGTGACCGGCCGGTTTTATTGTCGTCGCTGGGTTTTGTGGATGGTAGCTAGCGTTATCTAACCAGCCAGCAGCTGCAGCCAGTTATATTGCCTAAATGGGCTACGCTATGCAGCTATCAGCCAGCAGCCAACAACCAGCATCAGCGAGTGTGCGCGGTCACGGCTGTTGCCGCGCGTGTACAGTCTGTCGTGTTTTCGTTTGTGGTGCCCACAGCCCTGGTTGTGCACAATTGATTTTTATTTGTTTGGGGATTACCTAATTAAGGGGAGGCTACACCTTATTAAATAATAGATGAATAAATAAAGCTGAACCATGATATATATTTCCGCTTTATTTATTTACTTATTTATTTACTCTGTTTTAAATATCTTAATATAGATTAGTAATGCGCCTCAGCCTAATAAGCTAAGGCGTGCATTAGGGTGCCGGGGTTGTAGAGGTTATGGGTTTTCCCAGGCCTTTGCACCTCCTGTCACCGTATTTTTACTTTTTTCATTATGTAGTCAGCAGCAGCAGCAGCAGCAGCAGCAGCAGCAGCAGCAGCAGCCGGCAGATCAGCAAGCAGCTGCAGCAGTGGCCATGGCCCGGGCCCTTTATCGCCAGGGTTTGCGGCAGCTTCCCTGGTGCCAGGACCCGAATGCAGGGTCGACTGGCTGCCGGGACTCGGGGCGTACGAGTCGTCCGGCCTGCCGGCACCCGCACGCAGGGGCCGGCCGTACTTTTATAACGCCCGTCTCAGGTGGGTGGATGGGTGGGTGGGCGACGTGGGTGTGGGTGTGGTGCGTACTTCGTGATTTGGGTTCAACTAGTGGTCGTGGAAAAAGGCCGCAGGGCCGCAGCGCACGTGTCGCAACGAGGCCTTGTGACTTTTGGGCAAAATAATGACNA